GCCGGGAGCTGTAGTCCAACAGCGGGGCATGCCGGGAGCTGTAGTCCAACAGCGGGGCATGCCGGGAGCTGTAGTCCACCCGTGTCTGCCGAGACCCTCCCACCCGAGACCCCCCGAGGGGCAGCGGGGGCACCCCCACGGACAGACCCGGCCCGGGTTTGTGCCGCTGGGAGCACCGGTGCCCGCGCGTGGGAAACTGCTGGGGGTGAACACTGCTGGTTTCCATGTCCACCTCTGGCTGAGCAGCCTCCCCTACCTCGGTGTTCCTCAGCATCAACAGCTCACACAGAGCAGGAGTGTTAAACACACCAACCACACCAGAAAAACCTTAGTTAAATAGCAGTATCACTTTGGTATTTGTGGAGAAAGAGGGAATACCTGGCACTAAAGGATGTGGAAGGAGTCAGCAACTGTAATAAGATCCTCAGCACTTTACCACTGTTACCAGGCCATTACTTATTCCCATTATAACACCGAAATCAACCATTTTTCGCTTTTCATGCTGTAATTCTCTTGACATACACAGTGAGTAGTCCGAGCTGACCTGAATTTCATAAGCTCATCCCTGTTTTAATCAGCATCAGGAGGATACGGCTCCTACCTTTGGGGTCTCGTTAAATTCTTCCTAATCAGCTACTACACTGAGATGCCAAATTTTTGTTTGAATGCAGAAGCTGTACCAAATCCTGCTGCTTTCCTGACTGGTTGAAAATGAAGAGTGCTTTGTTAGAGAGATTTTCACAGACAGCAAATACACTGTTCCTGAGGGTGGAATGGCCTTGTGTGCTCCCCATGCCACCACCACTGCCATGTTCACACACCACATCTTCACCTCAACTAGAAATTTTCCAGTGTGATACATCAACACATTTGGCAACTCCAGGTGGTCTTCTGGGAGACCCCTTTTCCATGGGTTTTGCCAGGGCTCTGTGCTGCTGAGAGCAGCAGGAAGGCTCAGTAGAGCTGTGTTTTTATACTGCTGGACACTCCTGGCTTGTACGTTCCACCCTTCACACTAGAGATGTGCAGTGTCAGCCCATGTGTGAGACAGGCCTCTGACAATATCCTTGGGCTCTTTCCAATAGTCTCCCTAGGCACTAACCCCCCTTAATTTCTTAACTATTCCCACATAAGGCTCATCTTCAGCTGGTTTAATATTAACCCATTCTCCACTGTGTAAAACAAGCAATTTTGGGCTGTTTCATACCTTGGAGTCCTCACGACTGCTGAGGTGCCCTCAGAGCTGGGACAGAGCCTTCAGAGGTGCCTTCTCAGGCATCTCTCAGTTCTGACCCGTTCCTTCAGACCCCAGGTCACCTCCTCACCCTGCCTTTGGTCTCTCTCACCCTGGGCTTTCTCACAGCCCTACAGATACCTTTATCAAGCTCTAAATACCTTTCTCAGGCTCTCTGTTCCCATCGTGGAGATGCTCCCGTGCTCCAATCCTAATGCTCTGCTCACATTTGTTTGTTCACATCTGAACAATTTGTTTCCCTCAAAGCTCCTTCCTTTTCCTTCTCTCCCTCCCTCCCTCCGCATTCAGTAAGAACTTTGTGCTCTCCCCAGAGGCCGCCGTTTGGACACCTCCCCCGGCAGCCAAACCGGGGCAGCCGCAGCGCTCGGGGGCGCGGGCGGGGGCTCGGAACGGGCCGAGCAGCCCCGGCCGTTCTACCGGAGCGCAGGTAACGCCCGTGTGCGGGGTCTGGGGGGGGTGAGCACAGGAGGGGCCGCCGGGGCAGCGCCTCCGGGCCCGGGTGCGGGGGAGCCGCGGGCGGTGCGGGGCGGGCGGAACGGCCCCGGCCCCGGCCCCGGTGCGGTCCCTTCCGCCGGCCGCGCTTCCGGGCCGTCAGGTGACGGGCGCGGGCGGAGCGGCTGCTCGAGAGGGGCTGCGGGGCCCGCACCGCCGGTGAGCAGGGCGGGGCCGGGCCGGGGGGCACTGGGGGGAGCCGGGGCCGCCGTGAGGCTCCGAACGAGCGGGGCGGGGGCGCGGCGGGACCCCCGGGGTCGCCCGGTGGCTCCGGTGCCCCGGCAGGCCCGGCCTGTGTCCGGGCCCGGCGCTGCCGGCCGGGGTTTGCCCCGAATCCCCGGGTTGGGGCCCGCAGGGGCCCCGTGTTCGCGCTGCGGCCGGGCCGGACCCGCTGTCGCGACAGATGGGTCCGGCTCTGGGTACGTACAGGGGTCTGGCCTGGCGATGTCGCGGGCATCAGTTTCTGGTACATGGCATTACTAACATTTCGAGAATTACTTATATGTTAAGAATCGCCTATTGCTTCTCAAACCACGTCATTGCTGTCGTATTTGGTGTTATTTTCACGTTTTCTGCTAACCCGGTCAGCCCGGCACGTCCCTGTCACAGCGCTGCAGCCCAGCTCGGGCAGCATTACCCGAGTGCTTATAGCAGTGCTCTTTGTTTGGTTTGGTTTTTTTTCTTTTTCCCTTTGGACTTTGTGAGGTAAGAGGATAATATCTTTGTCAAAAGGTTTTTCTTAGGGTCTATATTAAACCTTTATGGAATGGATAAAAAAGTAATTACTTTAATCGCTTGAGGTTTTTCACTGTTTGCGTTGGTGAGGTGCCTCGAATCCTCGGGGTTCCCAAAACAGCCCCTCAGCTGGGCCCTCACCCCGGGAACAGGGGCTGTAACACAGAAGTACGTTGCAGAATCCCAATTAAAGAAACGAGGCCAAGCAAGGGCACGTTGGGCTGGAAGGCAAATGGCTGGTTTTGCAAGAGCAAGTGATCACATGAGTTTTGAGACCACTTCGTGCTAATACTGAAAAGCTGGTGCCCGATGCTGTGCAGGTTGCAGGAAGTGAAAAGATGAACTCGGGAAATGTTCCCAAGGAGTTAAAATGTAACATGGTTGGGAGACAGAAAAGAGTAAAAAGGTATCGAGAGATAAATGGATATTTAATGATTAACAGAAGGACAGTCGTGTTTGCTAAGAATATCTAAAAATGACTGTCAAGAAGTCAGTGTACTTTCTTCTAGGCCCTGTCAGCAATTATCAGCTGAGGTTACCTGGTTGTTGTACTTGAAGCCCAGGCAATTGTAATAGGTTAGGTATTAGATTTTTGTTTGACTTTTGAGTGGGTGTATTTATACTACTCTGAGTATTAGTTTTAGGTTGAGATAGAATTTCTGATGTTAATATTCCTTTTATAAAATTTGTCACACGTGTCAGAAAATGCCACCGTAGTGATAAGAAAAATAATCCAACAAGTTTTCTTTTTGATTTAAACTGCAAAAGGTTCAGGAACTAAATCCGAGCTTGTTTCGCAAACAAACTAGCTTTGGATTATTTCAATTTCAGTAATCCTAGAGAAAGTAAGGGTTTTTTTTTTCTGCATGCTTTAACTTGTAGTGGAAACTCTGCCAGTCTGGCTTGAAGTGTTTTTCCTATGGTTTTAAGGTTGGGTCAGTGTACCTTGGCAAATGCAGTCATTCTCATTTGCTGGGTTCAGGAACGTGACCTGTGACAGCAGCCGTTCAGCTCCCGTTTTCCTGCTGTGCAGTTGTCCCCAGTAGATTTACAGATTTAGTTTTTAAAGCGTTTGAGTAAAAGGTCTTTCTTGCTGCCAGTTGGTGAGATCTGTACCCAGTGCTTACACAATACATTTAAAATACTGAAACAGGCCTTCCCCTGCACTTACCCCCATCGTGGACCTCCCGAGCTCCCGGCTGTCCCAGTGTCCCGTGTGCCTCCCGGAGAACCAGTTCCACCATCTCATGTATCTTCACCTCCGTGTCTTCTTCAGCTCCACCAGACTTTTTCATTTAGGAGGCTGACTTGCAGTAGAGCTCCTTGTTCATCTGCTTGATTCTTGGGTGTAGTAAATGTCAGAACGGTCTGTTGGGATATCATAGGGATCATGATTTAAAGGAAATAAACAGATAATATAGGTGGCTTTTAAGTAACAAAGATGCTGTTTTCTTGTCATTACCGAAAGGCCAAAAAAGTAAGGAGAAAAGACAAGATCTTTGAATGCCCCCAGTTAGATATCAGCTGATTTTTATATCCTTTCACTTGTTTGCTACTTATCATGCTTCTGGGCTTGATTTGGAGACCAGAGTTTGGCAAACCTCCAAAATTCTGTTTACTTAACCCCAAAAGTCATCTTCTATACCAGTGTACTCACAGTCTTCCTTCTGAACTCTAAATCAAAATGAAAATGGGGTTGGTTTGGCCTGTTGTCTTGATTGTTGGGTTTTTTAGGTGTGGTTTGCTTATGGTTTGTTGGTTTGGGTTTTTTTTCCCCTAAAGAGTTTTATCTCAGAGTTGAGGTAGTTCAAGTGACAGTTCAACAATTTTGAGCTCGTTCTACACTGAGAGCAGGTGAATTTGCAGTTGAACATTGACTTCAGGATCCACAGGGCACACTCACAAGTGACACAATATATGATTAACAAATGGAAATGAGCCACTGGATACTGTTTCATGTTTGCTTCTTTGCACATGTGCAGCCGGACTGGCAGATGAACAGACCCAGCAGCGCTTGTTACAGACCTGGGTGTGTTAAATGATATCCCAGGGACAGGAGCAAATGTGTGAGAAGGCTTTTCAGGATGAGATTGATCATTTTTACTGTTGTGTTTTGATATATTTTTGATATTTTAAATTGGTTATATCCTAATAAATCATTGGGCCCAATCAGCCAGTGGACAAATAATTAGGAGGGGATCCCCAGTACAGACTAAGGAATGACCCTCTTCTGGGGCAGGAGATCCAGTACCTCTTGTGTTGTATCATTTTGATCTTTCTTCTTCTTCTTAGCCATTTTATTTCATTTCATACTGATATTTCAGTAACTTGATGATTTATTAATTTTTCATAGTTACTGAAAGCTAAGGGGTTTTTTAGTAGGTGCTGCTGAAGATACAAATTCTATCTTTTTGATGAGTTTCCAGATTTGTGGTGTTAAATTTATGGAATTTAATTTGTAGAAAATTACTTTTTTTTCCACATTGTTTTAAGGAACACAGAAATTAATTTATTTGTCTCTTCTACATCCTTTCCTTGTGTTATATGTCAAGATAGAAGACCCAGACATTTCTTGTGTCCATTCCATAAAATAATGCTGTGTTTTTTACAGTGTATTGAACTCCTTAGTTTCAATGAGGTTTTCTCAATTTTGATATTTATATATATGGGTCCAGGTTGGTGAGTTTTCACATAAACTACTGAGCAAGGCAGGCTGAAGATTCTGGTAGTAAGGATGTGTGAAAAATCCAAGTGTCTTTAGCATATAGTTTATGGGCTGGCAGCATTTCCATCTGCCTTGAACCGACAGGAATTTGGATTCTGTACAATGCACTGAGTGTAAATGAAGTCATGGTGTGAAATGCTGGGAGTCAGCAGTGCTGAAAGCAGCGTATGTTGAAGTGCAGCATCTGTGAATACAAAGCTACCCTTCTGGGACACTGTGCAAAATGATGTAACTGTGTGAAAAAGCTCTGCAGAAATACATTCCACCTGCTGGAACTGAGTGTCTCTGCTGCAATACTTCACCAGGCTTGAGTGTGAGGCTTCCTTGACCGTGCTGTGGGATTGTATGGTATGAAAAAAGCTGCTGGCAGCAACAGCCAGAGATCCTGAGGTTTTCTTTTGCTGCCCTGCACCTGTTCTGCAGCTCTGCTACAAAGAGGTGACACCAAGGAAAGCCTTTAATGCCCGTGGGGTGAGTTTGCAAAAAAAATTCTTCTGAAAAATTCAAGTTGCCCTTTGAAAGGGCTCCACTGTTTGTACACTTGCAAAAAGGTCAGATAATCACCTGTTTTGATTTACTTATCAAGGATGAGACTGTGGAGGTTGTTGCTACTGAAATAAAATAAATGGTGTTCTCTGATAAATATGATGATGTTAATGAGTAGTGAGTAAAATTAAAGCACATTAAGGTACCATTTTTAGTACTTCTGCATTACTACTGCTTTAGAAATGTTTGATAGTTTGAAAGTACTAGAAATGTTTGATAGTTGTATCAACACATTGCTGTGATAGCAGCAATATACGGCTCAGGAGACAAATCAAGTTTTAAGCTGCCTTTGCTTATCATTATTATCATTAATATTCCAAACTGATGAACACTGAACTTAAAACTTTGCATTGTCAGTCTGTCCAAACTGAGAATGGCTTCATGATTAAATCCCATTTCAGACTGCACTTGCAGTTCTAACTTGTCTTGAATTTTGGAAGAGCATGTGTGACTAGGTGAGCTCATTCCTCTTACAGCAAATGGCATTTCTGAGAAAATACAGGGGGTTTGTTTTGGCTGTGGATCTCAGTTGCTTATCAGTAACAGTAAAATACAGGTCACACACCAGCCAGGTCATACTACAGGACTGTAAAGTAGCTTAGTTTCTAAAAAAAGATCCCTCTTGGCTATGTTAGACTAAAACCATCAACAACAGGATTCAGGAGCTTCTTAGATAAATCACTACCAGTTTGGAACAGGACCAGAATGCAGTGTTTTAATATCAAGAAGTTGGGTTTGTTTGTTTGTTTCCCCCCTTTCTCACTGCTAGGATTCCAACAGGAAAATTTTCTTGACCTTGTGTCTGGGTAGTTCTTGAGGATGGCAAGCAAAGGACCCACAGCTCCTACATCAACCAAGAGCTCCAGCACTGGAGGGACCAGTGGCAGCAGCAGTAACGGTCCCGGGGACAACACTAATCAGGACAACACTTTTGAATGTAACATCTGCTTGGACACTGCCAAGGATGCAGTGATCAGCTTGTGTGGGCACCTCTTCTGGTAAGTGCTCCTGCCCCCACAGCTCAGCCTGGAGATCAGCACCATCCAGCTGATCCCATAGAATCCTGTGCTTTTTATAATTTCGGATGTCAAATGTCCTGTATAAAATGAGTAAGGACCGTGGGTTTGGTTTAGGAGAAGCTTCTCAGCTGTTGTTCTTTGCTCATGGTCCAGGAGTGGGTTTCTTGCATCTTAAACTTCCTGTTCTTCTGGCCATTCCTGTAAGAGTTGGACTCATGAGCCTTGTGGGTCCCTTCCAACTCAGAATATTGTGATTATTCTATAAAAGCAAACAAGCAGCCCCACACAGACAGTTCAGAGCTCATTGATACTGCTTGGTTTTGTGTGTTATTTTATTTGTGCTGTCTGGCCTGGCACAGACATCTTCTTTAGACCTTTCTAACCTGTGCAGACCTAAACCTGCCTTTGAATCCAGGTTATGGAGGCCAAACTGTAGTTTTTTCCACAGGCTTGGCTGTTTTTTCCTTTGAAACCATAAAAAAGAAAAATAAATGGGCAATAAGCTTTTCCACGTGGGGTATTTCTCTTTTTCCATGGTATTGCAGTTGTAATAGGAACTTTTCAGTTCTTTGATCTGACATGGAAATAATGTGCAGCACAGATATAATACATGTGCAGCATTTCTAATTTGGGTAACTTGGTTTGAATATACCCTTTCCTTAATGTTAGGAAGTTGTTAAGGATTGACATGGCCAAATGTGGGGGGTTGGGGGGTTATTTTACACAGGAGGCTAAATCTTTAATAAAAAGAGGCCTAAAAGAGCATTTCTTTTCTGTGTAAATGTATGTAACATCTGAAAATCCAGATTTTTATTTGAGGAGATGGAAAATCACTGGCTAATGGCTTGTTAAGATAAAATTAGATTGAATTATTGCACAAAGGGATCTGGAAGAATGGAACCTTAAAAATAGCACGTGTCTTGTCTGAATAGGGTTGTCGAGACCATTTTGAGAGCAGATGGCTGTTTGCAGTTTTGTCTTGTAGCCTTGTTTTCTTTGACCTTTTTTTAATTTGCCATATTAATTTACTCTGTATAATGGGAATTTTTCTACCCTGAGCAACTGGGTCTGATCTCAATAGCTGACCCTGCTCTGAGCATCAGGTTAGACTACAGGCTACCCGAGGTACTGTCCAGCCTGAGTTATTCCATGATTCTATGAATGTGGCTGATGTTTCAGCTAAATCTTTTAAGATCCTGAAGTCTCAGTACTGACATCTTGCTCATTTGCATCTTAGCTCAGAGATATCTTTCCATGGTATCAGAATAGCCAGTTTGCACAGTGATCCCCAGGATTGATGCAGCCTCTGTGTGGGCCTTTGGTGTGGAAGAGGACGAGGAATCGAAGGGGATATGCACAGAACCACCTTTGCAACTTAGATTGTGTAACCTGAAAGAACCAGTGGAGATTAGTCTTGGGCTGTACTTTCAAAAATTAGTTTAATGGGAGGTTACAGAACTGGCCCAGCTGGATTCCAGGGTTCTGCTGTGGCCAAGCCATGCTATCCGTGTACATTTGTCAGATCGAGTTCTCAGTAACTAATTCTGTTTTCCCCCTTTTTCTGCTCTGCAAACAAATTGTCCTGGGAATGCTCACAGTTGGCCTTGTTTACATCAGGTAAGACAGGTTTCCTTTTACTTTGTCTTTCATCAGCTCCTGTTGCTCAATAAAGCCCTTGGTTCTCTGGAGTATCCCCCTCTTTCTAAATGTGCTTTTCTCTCCAGGGCAGTCACAACCTGCTAATGCAACTGCATGTGCAACACCTTGCAAACTGCTCTTTCAGCATGAAAACTTAATTCTGTTCCACCTGAGTATTTCCAGTTTTGGTAGAATTACTGTAGGGGGTTCCTCTGCAGGTTTAAGTGCTGGGTGTACTTCTCTCTGCATTTGTAATGTTTTACATTGTGGTACCTTATGGAAAAGCTGGGTGAAAGGAGGGTGTCTACACTTAGCCCTGGGCCTGTGCAGGACTCTTGGCACTGTTTACTTCTTCATATTTTACTCCAGGGCAGGTCTGAATGTGTGCTCATCAGCAAGTGGATCATACCAGAGCAACAGCCAAAGTGCCAGCTCCATTTTGGAGAGCACTTGGCACTTATTAAAATGGTTTGCTCTGGGGCTCTCTGAGGGATTGCTAAAGTCTCTCTGCCTGGCTGCAAATGAGGTTTGGATATTGTTGTTTCATGGTCTTTTACTAGTTTCCTTATCATGTCCTTTCTTTTAGTGGCTAGAGACCAGGCCAAACAGGCAAGTGTGTCCTGTATGCAAAGCAGGAATCAGTCGAGATAAAGTTATTCCTCTGTATGGAAGAGGTAGCACTGGGCAGCAGGACCCCAGGTAAGAAACCTAAATACAACTATTTTTGTTTGAAAGCTAAAGATGAAACTTTAGTTAGCTGTCTTAAGATTAAACTGTCAAAGTGCTGGATTCATAATTTGTAATACTTTGTCAAAAGATAGATAGAACTGACATTTCTGCCAAACATTTCTGGCTTTTTCAGGGCCTGGGTTTACACACCTCATTTCATGTTCAACTGGCAATTCATTTGAATTTTAACTGGGTGTTAATTATCAGTTACAAGTGGCAGGTTGCAATGATTGTTATCTGGCTGGCTAAGCTCCTATAAAATGTTCCTGTCCTGAGTTTTTAGCCTGTGCAGTGGGACTTCTGTTATTCAAAAGCACAGCAATAATTTGGGGATGTGCTGCTGAAGGTCCAGGAGCTGGGGGTTGGCTCTCTCACACACTGCTCCAGCTCTGCTGCAGCCTGGCCCTGTGGGACCGAGCTTTGTGGTTGCTCTGCCTTATTAGCCAGGCTATTGCAGACACTGCTGTCATGTGTCCTTGCACTTGAGCTAATTTCATAACTTCCTGCAGAGAGAAAACTCCACCACGACCCCAAGGACAGAGACCTGAACCAGAGAACAGAGGGGTAAGTGAAGAAACAAGCTCGGGCTGATGAGTTGTTTTGTTGATGGTGGTATTTATTCCTCCTGGAGGACACAGTGTGTGCTTGAGATCCTGTGTGAGGATCCTGCAGCTTACACATCTTGCTCATCCCCAGTTGGCTGGTCATGAATCATTCATAGCTGTGGTGTGGCAGAAAACTCCATTCCTACAGTACTCTTTAGCATCCCAAAGAACAGGCTAACTTGGATTGTGCTTTGTGAAAATGGCCCAGTGTGGTATCACTGGAAATGCTCTTCATGCTCAATTGTTTTCCATGTAAATACAAGGAACACTTTGCTTTGAAAATCCTTTGTGGAAATGTGTTTCCATCAAAATATACCTGTCATGGAAATACATAATTCGTGTATGAACTGGGATTTCTGGCACTGAAACCTGCTTCTGTAATTTCTGTGGGATGTTACTGTACCATGGCATTACAAGCAAAAGAAAGTAGGTATCTGTTGGATACATGTTCATGTGGAGAGGGATCTCTGGTGTTGTTGAGGAGATGACATGGAGTGCATGTAAACAGCAGCTGGCACAGGCTGAGCAGATGTGGGAGAAGGCAGTAGGACAGTTCTTCAGCAGGACCTGATGAAACAGTGGCACATTTCCATGTAACACAGCCTGGGGTCCTCAGAGAGGATTTATCTGCCTCGTGCTGCAGGCAAACAACTCTGCTGGGTGTGATTAAGGCACATTTCTGTATTGAATATGTTGGGAGCTCAGCTGTTAAGGGAGTTGCTGCCTTATTAAATCAGCTCCTGCACCTTGTTTGAACCTTTGAGCTGGTGCTGCTGGAAGTCAGAGGAGTCTGGTACGAAGACCAGCAGCAATGCTGCCCTCCTGTTCCCTACAAGCCCTGTACCTGCACACAGAGAGCTTTGCTGTCCCTCATAGTTTATGGCAAAGTCCTTGAGAAGAGTCACAGTCAAAAGACCAACTCCTCAAATCAAGGCTCGATCCAGAAATGTTTGGCTTTTATTATATGAGTGAAATCATCTTTGTCCTCCCATTGTTGGGAGGTGACAGACCAGAGGGTCTTTCAGAATTGGTATCACTGTTTCAGTTCTGAGATGAGAGGGCAGGTTGCTGGATTACAGAAGTGTGGGCTCTCAGCAGTTTCTAAACATGACACAACTCTCTAGATCCACACACAGCTGGTTCTCCAGTAGCACAGTGCTTCTCCACAGCAGGATTCATCTCCATTCACAAGACTTGTCTTTTGACTTGATGTGGTGTTTTAGTCTGGATCCCATGGGGTCAGTGTTGCATTGTAACTCTTCCTTTTTTCCTCCTTTCTTTATGTCTTGCATTCCTGCCCCAGGTGACTTTATCTGACACCTTAATTAGAGTCCCCCTGGTAAATTTTTTTTTGTACTATTCCTTATAATGCTCTTTGCATCCCACTGGCAATTTATCACTTCACTGAGTGTTTGAATGATGCACATGTATCAAGAAAATCAATGTAGATTATTTTTTTAAAATGCCTTTCTTATAGTTATGTGGCTAATAGCTATTAACACACAATACATTGTTTAGATATTCTAAATAGGATTGGTAATGTTGATTTTGATACATTGGCAAATATCTACTACTTTAAGCTGAGAAATGTTACAGATACACTTTTGTGAACTTGTGGCTTTCAAGCAAAAACTGTGGTTCCTAGTTTTTGTTTTCTCAAAGATTTGGGTTGCTCTGCAAAGTTTGCTACTGTGTGAAACATTTTGAAACCAGAACTAGGGAGATATTTACAATAGTGTGTCAGAGGGAAAGTTGTCAGACAGCACGGCCTTCCTTCAGGTGGAGGAGAGCCAGAGGGAGGGAATGTCTGCACTTCTACACAATATTCTGAAATAGGCTTTAAATGATTGTTACCTTTTTTTGTCTCCTGCTGCTTTGTTCTCTGCAGGGATTCCAGGGCTTTGGCTTTGGTGATGGTGGCTTCCAGATGTCCTTTGGAATTGGGGCGTTTCCCTTTGGTATATTTGCAACAGCCTTCAACATAAACGACGGGCGACCTCCTCCAGGTACCACGGATCCACCTCCTCCAAGGGTCCTGTCACAAACATGTGTTACAAACTCCCTTGTAACTCTTAAACAAATAACCTGCTAAATGACAGAATGTTCTCAGCATTAACAAGTGCTGTGAATAGAAACACAACATGAGGGCAAACACCCAGCACAGAACATGGTTTATGGCTGACACGTTTTGTACATGGGCTCATAAAGAATCAAGTTTGTCCATTCCATATCATTTAAAGGCCCTCCTGGGAGAACAGTGGCACTGGAGAGGGACAGTGGCACTGGAGACTTCTCCCTTTTAATTCAGATGTCTCTTCTGGTACTCAGCAGACTCCCTCTGAAAAATGAGACAAATTGGACTAGAGTTTCTAATAATAAAAAGGAGTCACTAGGGGTGTATGAAGGAGACCTAGATTTTGAAAGGACCATTTCCTGAAAGATGAGAAGGAAAAATTTAAATGTGCTCTGTACCACGAAATAATGAATGCAAAGATTGTTCCTTCAGAAATTTATCTCTGAGACAGTCATCTCTATTCCACAAGAAGTAACTTCCCAGTGAAATTGTTTTGCTGGTTTTGATTAACAAAAACCAGTTGGGTTACTTCAAGTGGTGACCTTGCTCTCTAAAAATTAAGTAATCCCTAGAAAACCTCTTCCCCATCTGCACTGGAGACAATCTGAGTCTGTCTGTTTTGAACAAGAAAACTTACTGCCCAGGATTTTCTGGATTTCCTCTGTGAATGGTTGTGCCTGGCAAATCTTCCACCACGTCATATGGCACAGGAATTACGAGGAAGAAACTCATTCTTCATGTCACAGCTGTGTTGCCACAGTCCTGTGCTATCCTTGGGTCCAGTTACCTTCACTATTAACCATAATTAAGTGTCCCCTAAAAATCTGTGTGTGTGGTGGCTGAGCCAGGAGTGTGTAAATATGTGCTGTTGTAACAGCCATAATTTAACCAACTCCTTTATCTGTTTTTCCTTGGTGGATTCAATGCAGCAGTTCCAGAAAGGCACAGCTTGAGTTTTAGAGCTCATGTGCTTTTCATTAGTTCTCTTGGCCAGGGCTGCACAGGCAGCTCTGACCCTTTTACCATTTCCTTGTTCAGAGGTTTCACCTTGGTGGGAAGGAACAGAGGCAGCTCAGGTAGAGGTGGTGAAGTTCCTTGGGAACAGTGAACTTGGCTCAGCACTGTCTACTGTGTTCAGAGTATGCATGATCCTGGAGAAGAGGAAGGAGCTGAACTGTTTTTTGTTTCTTTTTTTTCACTTCCTGTTTTCCAGCTGTTCCAGGGACTCCTCAATATGTGGATGAGCAGTTCCTTTCCCGCCTCTTCCTGTTTGTGGCACTGGTGATAATGTTCTGGCTGTTGATTGCATAAATCTTTTCCATTATTCTATATATTCATGACCAACAAGGCCACTGAAACAGTTACAAACTGCATCCCCATCCCACTTTAAACCTCTTGGTCTGGTTCCGTAGCTAACTATGGGCTTCAGGAATTGGTGGTACCACAGCACAATGAGGAATCTCGCATTTTGCACCAGAGTTGGAAATTAAACATTGGTTAAAAAGCGTATTTCAGCTCAGATATCTTGTACAACAGGTTCCTGCCACAAACCACAGGCCTAGCGTTGAGCTGTGCTCCCAAGGGAGTGCTGCTCTGAAATCCTGTGCCAATCAGTGACACCAGGTCTGTGGGACAGACAGGGACCCCCAGATCCTGGGGGTTTCCTGGGCAGGTCAGGAAACTTCTCCAGTGTGACCAGTATCTCATGCTTTGCAACCACGATGGATCTGCCAGAGCTGCAGATGTTATTTAATGTCTCCATCAACATCCAGCCTTCTCCAGGAAATCACCTGCAGCACTGCTGACACTCTTTGGGCACAGCACATGGTGCAAATGGAACCGGGTCCGGAGACTGGTTCCTTTTCCTGCTGTTGTTTCCCAGCGTGATGGAAACCCCTTCCTGACGCGGTTCTGACGGCTGCTGGAAGAAGGGATACAAATTTATGCTGCAATTTTTTAAAGCCTGAACATGCTGGAGCCAGACACTGGAAGGATTCTCTGGCTGTGGAGCCGAGTGGGGCTGGACACAGCCGCTGCCTCACCCAGCCCAGTTCCTCACTGACCAGCAGTGTTGTCTCCCCTGGCTCTGCACAGCCCCGGGGCTGCACTCGTGGATAATCCCCTCACCCCTCACAACCTCGTCACGGTAGCGACAGTTATCCCCTCCCAAGGCTTTGAGACTTTCTACGCAAGGTCACGTCCTCCAAATAAAATCCTATTACAGATCCGAGATCAGCTCGTTCAGGGAGAGGAACAAAAGGCATCTTTACGTGAGGTTTGAGGTTAAACCTGTCATACTGTAAAATTGCACAGGAGGAAAAATGAGATCCTGCCTTTGCCAGCACATGCACGGTAGGGAACACTTGGAAGACCTTCTCTCTGCAGGTGCACACAGCTTCTCCGAGCCACAGCAGAACGGCCACAGCACAAGAGTCTCTGCAGTGTCTACCAAAGAGTTTAATTTGAAGTGCTGGAGGAGACCACAACCATTAATGTGCTGAGGGGATATTTCAGAAGGTGAGCACTCTGTAGCCGTTTTGGAATCCTGCTGGGTATTCAGCTTTAAAGAGTACTCCTGATGTATTTGTGTAGATTCCTTCACAACAGCAGATACGAGAGATTCCCTAGCAAGATTAACAGTTCTCATATTTCTCTGACTAGGCAATTCCATTTTTTTTTCTCTTATTGTTTTTAGATTGTTTCGATTCAGGTGGCTGATAGTCTCATTGATTTCCTGCAAGATGAATATTGTGACTTCTCTGACAATAGACAGAAAACTGACAAAACAAATCAACAAATAGAAACTTTGTTTCAACAGCTTGGGGTTTTTCTAGTGTATATGGAAGAGGTTCCTGGGCAGGACACCTTAATTGTTGTAGAAGCTTATTTATGTGATTATAAACTGTTCACTTTTAGTGTCAAGACAGAGGATGACTGAAGTTTAACTTGCCTACCTCCAAAACTCCATCTGGCAAGTAGAATGTTGCAAAGCTTCTGCAGTGTTTTGCCACATGTGGTCAAATTTATACCTGACTGGATGATAATCTGGCACAGAATATTGCTCAGCTATTTATAGTTGAAGTGGTGCTTCAGCCTTTGTTGTGTGGCACTTTTGGGAAGCTGAACTTCTGCACAGGGTTCTTCTCAAGTGCATAACATGTAACTGGGGCCCTTTCCAGGAGAAAGGCTGTTTGTGTGGCTGTCCTGCAATGTCGCAGCTTCGGGCTCCTCTCCTGCTCCTCTCCTGCTCAGCCAGCACCACCTGCTGATGGGAAGGGAGGGCCCATGTGGTGGGAAGGGGTGGGTTCCTTCTCCTTTTTGAGTGGAGAAACTCGCTGCTGGGAGCAGAGGTCGTCCAGGGAGGAGCAGGGTATCCCTTGGAAGCCTTTTTCCCATAAAGAGGAGAGAGAACTGACTGCAATAGGTTCAAGAGGTATTGAAACATATTTAAGTAGGACTTATGTTTTAAAATACGGAATTTTAATTCATTGGGGGGCTTTCCATCTATGGGTGAGAGATATAATGCATTTAGAGGAGGCTGCAGAAACATGACTGAGAGCTCTTATTTTCGGGCAATTCCAAGATGAAATAGTCTAAAAGTGTTAACGCTTGGTTCCCTCCTTTCCCCGGTGTGCTTTTGTATGTACCCCCTGCCCCGCACCCGCCCGCACACGGCCCGGACGGCTCGGTTAGTGCGTTACTGTTCTTCCTTCTCCTCCTCCTCCTCCTCACTAATTTTCACTGTTGTGAAAGTGATTTAGAATTAAAAAAAAAAAATGGTTTTACATTGACCGGAGTGCGCCGCCGTTCCTTCGAGGGGCCGGGAGCGGCGGGCACGCGCCTCCCTCAGGGGGCCGGGGGGGCGGGGCCCGCCCAGCGCCGCGCCCGCCACGGCACGTGCGGGGCGGGGCCGTGGGGCAGCACGCGCTGTCATTGGCTGCCAGCGCGGAAGGGGCGGGGCGGTTGGGGCGGGGCGGCGCGGGGATTGGCGGGCGCGGCGGGCGGGCGGTGCCGATTGGCCCGCGGGGAGGAGGAGGGCGGGGCGCGGCGCTGCGGGGCCGCGGGAGGCGGGTCCAGGTGCGGCGGGACCCGCTGGCGACGGGCGGGAGCGGGCGGCGGGCGCGGGATGGAGGCGCTGCCAGGTGAGCTCGGGCCGGGCCGGGCCGGGCCGCGCCCCCGCGGGAGGGGCCGCCCTCCGCCACCACGGGAGCGGGGGCGCGGTCACGAGGCCGCGGCTCCCCCCTGGTCCGTTATGCGGGCGCCGGTGCGTCGTTTGTGCCGCGGGGAGGCACCTGCGGGGCTCGGCGGGGCCGCTGCCTTCGGAGCCCGCACCCTGGCCGGGTGTCAGCCCGTGTCCGGGTAGCGGGCTGCAGCCGGTCCGTGGTTCCCTCCGCCGGTCCGCGGCTCCACGCGCGGCGCGGGGGGTTCCCGGAGGTCCCGGTGCAGCGAACCCCGCGGGGAAGCGATGGAGGTGCGGCCGCAGCCCGCACGGGGTCCCGCAGCGCGGGTGCCGCCGGCCCGGCTGCCCTCGGCCCCGTGTCCCGCTCGGGGTCCCGCGGTGCTCCCGGGGCTCGGCCGGTGCCCGCCGGGGCCGCTCCTCGCTGGCCGCCCCTCAAACATTCCTGCCGTCCTGGGGGACCCGGCAGGACCTGCTACATTGATTATGCCTGTTTGCTTTTCCTTCTCGCCGTTTCCTGCTCTGTTTTGTTCATTTCCGTCGTTTCTCCTGGATACTGAACAGTTTCAGTCGGATTTAGGACTGTTCGTTTCCGTTCTGAGCTAATCAGCCTTCCCAGGGACGCTCAAACAGATGTAGCACCGCAGCAGCGTCAGGCGGCTGCTGCCGGGGCTTGGGAGCTCGTGGGTCAAGTTCTGTATAATGGTTGTGGAGGAATCTGTTGCTTTTAGTCAGCTGTGGCATAGTCCTTGGTCCTTGGCTTTAACGGGATCCGCTGACCACACTGACGTGTTCCTTGTGCTGGTGGCACTGAAGGGGGGGCGTGGAGCTGCAGGGTGTCTGGTTTGCAGGTGTTTTTGGCCTGCAGCAATTCCACAAGTTTAGCTGACTTCCAGGGCTTGCCCTGCTTGGAGAGGAGAGTCTCTGCTGCCTGTACACGCAGGTGCAGGCACGTGTGGCTTTGCCTTTTATTCCCAAGCCCATTTGACGTGCTGAAAAGCAATTTGCTTTATAGAAGAACATGGGTAGCGCCAGCTTTTTCCAAGTTTCTCCTAACCCTTACTCTGCTGTGCAGGTCTGAGCTTAGGTGCAGTTCTTGGTGTTCTGGAGAGCAGGAGGGTACAGGGGCAGGTGCTCCCAGGTGTGGAGCCGATGCCCAGTTGGGAACTGAAGTGGCAACTTACACCACGTGTCCCCTTTGAATGAATCCTCTGAGCCCTGCAGTCTGCAGGGAGACGTTTCTGGGTGCTGCTAGTCTGCTGGAGAGAGTGGTGCCTGTGGCTGAGCGACAAATGGTTTTCCTCCTAAATCACCACTTGTGTAAAACATGCAAGATTTTCATCTTGGTTAATTTTAAACATTGTCGCTGACCTACACGGTGGGGTCAAAGTGCATGTGGAAGGCTGATGACTTCTGTTTTGTGTAGCTTTAAGGAACTTAATCATGGTATTGACTTGCCTGAGCAACTACCCAGTTGTAACGTTCTTTGGAAAATGGAAGTTCGTGGTTTGTGGTTTTCCTTCTCTAAGTGCACTTTTTTCCTTATGCAGCCCTTAATGCAAGCAAACTGTTGGTAGCAGGAAGAAACAGGTTTGAGATCTGCTCAGCACATGCTCACTGTGCCCTCCTGTGCTCATCCGGATCCCTGACTCTTTAGTATGCCCACACTGCTGTTGGGATTTGGGATAGCATTTATTTGTGTGCCAAATGCTCTTTGTGCACAGGCTTTCATTCTGTTTTCCTAGCTCGCCTGCATCTAAGGAACCAGCTCTGGGGCTTTCTGGCAGTTCTAGCAGAAACTATTATAACTCTATTATAACTATTTAAAGTATTTTCTGAAAGGGCAATAGGCCAGTAGCATCACTCTCTCTTCCTAAGTCTGACAGTAGCCTGGTGTTGGCTGTACAGCCTCTACAGGATTATTCATTCAAGTGGGTAATTCCTTCCCGGTAGTCAAGTTGTTCTCTACTGAATAAAGTTTGCCTTTCCTTTCTTTCAGTTCTGGGAAATCCATTTAATTATACAAATGAGAACAAATGCTGTGTGCTGAGTCAGTGGTGTGGGGGAAGCAGTAGCGTGGCTTCCTGGCCTAGTGTCGTTCTCTATGGGAATTGTACTGGAGCAGTCAGCCTTCCTGAAGTCTCTGCTCTGGCAGAGCTATAACTGAGCTGGTTTATGTGGAAAGTCATATTGCTTCCTCCTCCAGAATGTGAAGGAGCAGATGTCATGTCTGAAGGAAAAAAAAAAAAGTAATATCTAAGATGTCAGAGTTTGATTTGGGAGCTCCACTCTCATGAGTTACAGACTGCCTGGTGTTGGTTTAACTTTCCAAGTGTGAAGACTTTCCTGCCAGTTAATTAATTTAAGGTTATTCTTTAAGAGGGAAGCAGCAATCCTTGTTTTCTCTGATGTAAACTGATTGCTGTTTGTCACGTTATCCCTGCATGCAGGTGAAGAAGTCTGGAGATGTCTGGGATGTGGGGACAGCATCGCTGCCGGGCAGCGCCTCTACAAAACTGTCAACGAAGCCTGGCACATCTCCTGCTTTCGGTAGGTAAAGCTTTGGCCTGTTAAACCCTCCTCAGGCTGTTCCACTGGCTTGGGACCTGGTGCTGAAGTACCTGAGTGAAGTACCAACATAAACCAGGAGCTGTCCCTGTGATCTCTGTGCCTGAGCTGTTCTGAGCCCTTGTTTTCCGATGTCCCTCAGGGACCAGCGTCCAGTCCCAGCATCAGTCAGACACTGCCTGGCAGAGGGTGGCTGTGCTGACGCACATGGGATAAAGTGCAAATAAAAGCTCTGATTTACTGGTGGCAGCAGAAGCCACGGGCTGCACGCTTGCCTTCAGCTGCATTCCAAAGCAGTGCCCAGGCAATTTGCATAGCCTGTTGCTTTGTCCATATGTGGCAGGTGCATGGTGTTATCAGGGTGCTGATACAGGGGAGGGAGGGCAGGGAGATCTTGCCTTTTGCTTTCTCTCCTTTTCAGACACTTAAGACAGACAAACTTATGAAATCTGTTGGTTAATGTTGCTATCAGCAAGGAAAAAAAGGGATATCTGCCATGGGTTTTTCTAGTGGTAGGAGTAATGCCCCTTGTCAGTGTTTCATGAATATTCAGTCCAGTTTTCATGCCCCAGAACCACATTTCTGAAGGGGCCTGTACTTTTGAGAGGGGTTGAGAACCTGCAGCTTCTACTGGCTTCTGTGTTGGCTTGGGTCTGGAGAGGCTAATGTTTTGGATACTGTCAAAGAAAATGGGGGGAAAGGAAGCCAAAGTGTGGCTTTGGAGGAATGTTTGCTGTGCCAAGATAAGCATCTACTGTCCTCGTTTAAAGAACAAAATACCCCAACTTTGTTGAAGTGAGGATTATGGTTATTGGTGTATTTAAAAGAAAGAAAACATCTCATGCTGCCAAAGCAGTGCTGGCTTTGTTGATTTGGAAAATGCTGTGAGTTACAATGTCACATTAATAATCACAATTACAGCTTGATATCTTGACAAATCCCAGTATTTTTGGTTTGAGTGTTCACGTTTAGCTATACTGAGGCAGCTTGTCTTACTCCTGGTTTTCTCTTCTCCCTAAAGAACTAGTATCCTGTTGTTGAGCTTCCCTAGATTCTGCTAGTAGCCAAAC